AAGAGTCATGATGGGAATTCTGAAATTGTAGAAACCTTTTTAAAGACAACTTTTTAAACCACTGTGAGAAATGTAATGTGCTTAGTTCCTATTTTTAATAAATTGGGGGCGACACTGACTCCTACTTACACCATCTCCTTGGCTCCAGAACTTAAATAACATCAAGCAGAGGTATCACACGGCCACAGCCTGGGCGGCAAGGTGTCAGAGACCATCCGTGGATTCTTGAGTCACATTTAGGGGAACAAGGACACGGTGGGGAGCAACCTTCCTCCCTGCTGTATGGAGTCAGGCCAGAGCAGGCTTCTGGGTCTACTCCCTCCCCCGGCTATATTGATGTCTGCAGTTACCTTAATTGTTAAAATAAGTCAATGGGAAGATTATATTTTCCATTAAGTCAATGGGAAGATTATATTTTTATGAAACAGGCGTGCTAATTTTTAAATAACAATAATGTATTCATTGTAGCTTGTCCTAGTTGTTTGAAACTTTGACCATTATAATCATTCAGCACCTGGGTCCCTGGCAGTCTTCTTGAGGGACAGTGTTTGCCCAGACCCTGGCCAGAAGGGAGACACCTGGGAAGAGCTCCAGGCATGAGGATGACATGCTCACCCCCACCCAATAGTGAGTACAGAAGGAGCTGCACACCCAGCATGAGGTGGCCAAGGAGAACCCGGTCCAGCACTTGCCAGCATATTAGTCAGTGAGAAAAACACTGGTTACCCACTTACTGCCATCTAGTTTTACACAGACAGCAGAGGAAGAGGGGGACATAGAAATACACAGTTCTCCAATTCTTTTAAGTGAGGAGGAAAAATCTAAATGGGAATGATAAATAGCACTAAGTGGAAGCCTTGACTCTTTGCTAAGGTGAACCCCAAATTCAACTCTAAACTTCCTATTAAGAACAAAAGAACCAATCCCACATAAGACCAGAAACACAAGAGTACGGGACTTTAGCATGAAAACTAACAGATTCCAAGAGCCTTGAAACCCATGGTCCCCTATGGGAAGGCCTTACCTGTCACAGCAGAACCCCCATCAACACCCACAGGTGTGCGACCCAATGGGAAGATAAGCTCCTCCTGCAGCTGACTCTGGGAAAAAGAGACCCAGAAACCAAGCACATGGGGCTCCCCTACAACCATACCTCAGAGGCGAGTCTGATGAAAGATTCCATAATCCAATTCAGAGGCAAAGTTTCAGGCTGCCAGGTGCTGATGCAGGATACTGCACAGACCTGCTGTGTACTCATTATACATTTACTGCACAAATCTGCTGTATACTCAGTTTGTATTTCCTAGGCTCACTCCATTCTCTTCCTGAGTCTCCATTCCCCTCTAAGTGAGCCAGCTACAGGCACCCCAATACTTCACACGATGCCTCTGACCTAGCTAGGACATTCCTAGAAATGTTTCCTAAGGTAACAATGCTAAGCACACAAAGACAAATGTGCAAAGATTTTCATAGCATACTAGTTTGTACTTTTTAAACAGAAACACTACAAAGACCTCCAATAGGAAACTAACAGAGAATGTTACAGCTGCACAAAGGGATGCTACCAAGCTGTGATTCTCCACCCTGACTGTTCATCAAAATTGTAAGGGGTCTTAAAGAGGAGCAGACGCTGAGCCCCACCCTTATACCAACCCCACCTCCACAAATTCAGTCAATGTCTTGAGGGAAGGCTCAGACAGTGCCCACTGAATTGATACACAGCTCAGGTTGAGAACTGCTGTTACATTAAGCCAACAATCTATGCTTCAGAGCTACAAGATGTTGACATACTGCTAAATAAAAAGACAAGTTACAACAAAACAGTATACACAGTATGATCCTATTTCTGGAAAAGGAAAGTGTGTTTCTATATGGTTGTATGTGTGATTACACTCCTAGATTCCTAGAAGGCGGGGAGACACCAAACGCTCACTGTGGAGACCTCATGGTGCTCAAATTACAAATGTTGGCAAAACAAAGGGTTTTGATAATTTTGTTTTCTTTTAGTTTTGCCTTCTAATTTTAAAAGTGGTGACTTAAGAATCAGGAAGCCCCCATCCCACCTCAGTGCTCACCTACCTAACAGCACTCCAAAGGCATCCCACAGCCTGCAAGGGCTTTCTGCCAGTGTTCTGGGGCAAAGTCAAGTTTTCTTGGCAATTAGCCACTGCCTACCAGTAAGCTAACAACATTCATGTGCAGTGACAAGTCATGGTCTTCTGAGATGGGCAGTGTCCCACAGCATGACAGCTGCCGAGCTTCTCAGAGGGAAGGGGTTAGACAGTCCACACAGTACCACAGAGACCCCAAGGCAGCAAGAAATGATGGGCTCACCCAAAATCATGCAGCTCTGGGGCAGAGCAGAAGAGATTCAGGGTGCTAACCGGTTCTTACCCTGAAACGAATTTCTCATGGGAGTCAGAGAAGGATAGAGCAGAAGAATGTGAGGGCTGAGGGGAAAGATAAGGGAACCCTAAGTGTTCTGTATGTGTACCAAACACCCACCAAAGAAGGAATACAACTCTGGATTCTACACAGACTAACAAGAATGGAGAATATTTAAGATCTTATTTTATGTTACAACTATACTTTTTAGTTCAAATTTACCTGGCACTTTGTTAAATTGCCCTCCGATTTTCTTTTTTTTAATTTTCTCTGCATACCAAATTTGATATATTAATTAGGTGTTTTAATCTAAAAAATTCATCAGAAAGTCTCACATTACCATGGCAACCATGCAGCTCCAGCACATGCAACTCCCCAGCACAACACAGCTCCCTCCTCTTTAAAGCCCTGCTGCAATGGGGCCAGAAAAGTGGTGGGGGTCTGATTATTACAAAGAAATGGAGGGACACAGTCCCTTCCTGAATGATGCTCCTTCCTCCTTCCCAAACTGCATCTGTTCCACCCAGATGAATCTCTTGGCCTTCACACTTACAGCACAGGACCTTATTTCAGCAAACATCACATTGTGACTCTCAAGCCATTTGTGCCCGCCAACAACATGGAAAAATGGAATGAAGTGGTCACCCACCCATAGAACATCCTCAGATCCAGGCCCAAGCCAAGGTATGGCCTCCCAATTTCATCAAAGCCCCCTTAAATCTTGGCACTGTGTTCATCCTGGGTATGTGGGTACCATGCCCAGTGATAGGCCAGGGACAGTCATACATCATAGAGAGCAAGCACCTATCAGCCAGTGTCATGAATCACCCTACAAAAGCCCAAAATCGTTAGTACCTCTGCCATCCAAATAAAGGAGTGGAGATGTGTAAAATAGTTCTCAAATCAGATGATGAACACCATAAATAGATTCTGTGTTCTTTTTTGTTTTTTAAACGGTCCCTCAGTTCTGAGGCACAACAACTGGAAACAAGTAGAAAAAAGTCTACCTTAAAACGCTGATGATGGCAGCTCCTGTGCTACGTCAGTGCTCTATTTCCACATTTGCTGCCTTGGAGACACAATGCTAAGACACAGAAGGGTGGACAGCTCTTGGCTGACACCAGCAAGTGCTGAAATCAGATGTGTTTCTCAGACTTTCCTCATTCTGCAGCCAGAAACTAGATGCAAATCCACTTTCTGAATAGCTTCTACTTCACTCTGGGTTTTTTTTTTACATTAAATATTCATTGTTAAAAACAAAAACATAATACAAAAAACATGCACCACAGTGAGTCCTGCTTCCCCCAAAGTTCAGAACACAATGACAGGCCACCCCAGAACATACTGTGTCTGATACATCAGGATCTGAAAGCACCTTTCCTGCTGACCATGCTAAGCAGAGGCCTGGCATCTCCTAGCCAGGCTCCCTACAGATGTCTCTATTAGGAATGCCCCTGCACAGCTTCACTACCACCAGCCTGAGGTCCTATTATTGTAATTTCCTACAATGCTTAAATTATTTATTGGAAATAAATAGCTTGGGCTCTTGAAGAGAGCTGTGCTCTAAAACTATAAAAAAAAATCCATCATATCTCCACAGGCTGCCTACAAATGAAAATGCATATTTCAACTATTTTAAGAAAATGTCAAAAAGCATGAAGTGTGTCATCATTTTACCATATAAAATTATCCGCATGGCATCTGTAGAAAAAGCTATATGTTTGCAAGTGACTTTATCGTAGTATCCCAAAGGCACCCACTTCCTGTAGGTGCTAAGTTAAAGGTCCCTAGCATACAAGAGAGACCCAAGAATTGTGCCTGCACTGCCAGTTGGCTGTCATCCCCTGCTTTCCACCAGCGCCCACCTTGCCAGTCACCTAAGACACATATGTCTTCCAGGTAGGCAGCTCTACCTGCAGAAGGACTTCATAGTTCCCCAGAGGCCAGATTTTTAATGTGGCTTTGTTTCGGGATTTTTATTTGTCTGTTTGTTTTTTGGTTCGGGGAAATCGAACTCAGGACCTTGCGCGTGCCAGGCTGTATTGCTGAGCTATATCCCCAGCCCCGAGACCAGGTTTTTGCACAAAGACCAGGCCTTGGTTGTACAGGGAAACCCAGTGCAAAAACTGGGCGTGTCAGTTGTACTGCAGTCACCGGAGAGACTGAGCGTTCTGAGGGGACAGGGTACCCCGCACCACCTGTAGGGCAAGCATCTCACTTCACAAACTCGCACACCACAGGTGAGCGCTCCTGGAACTGCAAGTAAGGACAGCACCTCCTCACTGCCCACAAAGGAAAATGAAAATATATGGTGTTCTGGACAGTGGGAAGCATTGTCCTAAGCTCTGGAGCCGCCAAGACCACGATCTTCACCCTGCATGGCCGGCCAAAGACTGTTTCGCCCGGGGCGCCGCCACTGGAAATGTAGGTCCCGCGTGGGGACCTTGCCTGTGATCCACGAGTTTCCTCGGAGACCGAGACGTCCCGAGACACAGTCCCACCCGGGTAGCCGCCAGTGTCCAACGAAAAGAAATGCCACCTCTATGGCCGCCCTTGGAGAGCGTACGGGGTCCCTACAATGTGCCCCGGAGTCCCCGCTGGGCGGCCGCACTCACCGTCCTCCTTGTCGTCAAATACCGGCTTCCGCGCCGTGGCCGCCGATATGGACGACATGGACATCCTCTTCTTCCACTTGCTCCACGGAAACAGGGGGCGCGGCTGTGCGCGGGCATCGCCTGCATCTCGGACCCGGGGCTGGCTGGCGGCGGGTGGCTGCAGGGCCGGGGTCGCGTCGGGGCCAGAGGAGCGCGTGCGGCCGGGGG